ATCTATCTATCTATCTATCTATCTATCTATCTATCTATCTATCTATCACACAGGAGCTCTTTCAAGCTGGGCCCCGTTTCATTCACAACACCTGTCCCACCAACCAGGAACCAGAACCAGATGTTTACAGTAGAAACAGGAAGATATCAACCTGTGGATTACCTGAGGATCTTAGTACTGAATGCCCAATAACAAGGGACATCTACACACTATAGGACCGGTTTGATACAACATTATTTCACACAATATATAGAGTTAGGGGGTCCCCCTCCATCAGTTTGGGGGGCCTTGGCCTGGAAAACCTGGAAGACCCCTGGTTTAGATTAAAGCAAATGATGACAAACTAATACATTTTAAACTTGCATCCACAGGAAACTGAGGAGGAGGAAGATGATTCCAGCGACAGTTCGGACTCAGAGTCCGGGGAGTCGTCCACCGTCTCGGCCGTAACGGTCACTCCGGTGGTCGTCACCGAGGAGCCAGTGGCCGAAACCACCGAGGACCCCATCCTGCCCACCATCGTCACCGACCCGGACGGGGGCCGCGGGGACAGTCTGGGAGGCTACCCCAGCGACTACAAGTCCATCATCTACGTAGAAGAGAAGTCCTACCACAAGCACCCCGGGCCCTACAAGTCCTACGAGCTCCTCGGTCTCGGAAAGAAGGTGGCCTATGACATGGTGGACGGAAATGAGGTGGAGAAGTCACCAAAAGCATACAAGGTACAGGTCAGTTTAGCTCCCATCAAGATCTGAGATGGACACCCCAAAGGATGGGACTGTATCTGGGTCTGAAAAGGGAAAATCAGAATTACTTTTGTGGTATCAAATGGCCAATAATGGGTGACTCTGGCCTATTTAGACTGTATAAACTTTAGAAAGTCCATTAGAAAATGAACACATCCACTTTTGATTCATTGCATTTAGTACCATTATAATTTACAGACAGTAAGAGATAGCAACAGATTCCAAGTCCTAGCTTATATTCATAAAAGGCAAATTGAGTTTTAAACAAGATTTGCTTCAGGATGTGAGTACTACCGTTTGATAAGTCAGTGATGTGGAATCATCAGGTCCTCAGATCAAATTTATTTTTCTGTTCTGACTCCAAAAACTTCAATTGTGGGCTTTAAAACAGTCAGTGTGTGACTATGTGCTGGATTAATGTGGGAAGTGTTGACGGTGTTACCTGTAGTGCTGTAGTTCAAAAATAGTTTAAAAATATTCCAAAATGAGAATAGGATTAAAACATATCACCTTTTTTTTTTATTTTGTAACTGGTTCCTCTACACATCATGTCACCTCAGGACAAATCCCCCGTGTGTCCGGGGGAAAAACAAAGGATGACCAGAAGGCGTTTTAAACTTTGTTTGGTCGGTTTCTAAGAGGAGATCTTTCTCCCCGTCTCCTCTGAACACCAGGCCTTCCAGGTGCACTCGGACCTTCTGGAGGAGGACACCAGCACCCCCGAGGTGGAGAGCCAGGGCCTGGACGCCTCCTCCGGCCTGTCCCAGGACCAGGACATCAGCACCCGGCAGGCCCCGCCCCCAGAGGAGGAGGAGGGCGCCAGCGCCAGCGAATCAGAGAGCAGCAGCGCCCCCGAGCAGGAGGGGGAGGAAGAGGAGGAGCAGGAGGAAGAGGAGCAGGAGGAGAGCGCCAGCAGCAGCGACAGCCAGGAGGCGGAGGCGGGGGGGAGCAGCGAGGAGGGCGGGGCCACGGCCACGCCCGGGGCCACGCCCGGGGCCAGCGACTCGGACGAGAGCGACAGCGCTGAGAGCGACTCGGCCGAGGAGGGGGGGGCCGGACCCGAGCCTGCCACCCAGGGGCCAGAGGTGGTCGCTGCCAAATAAGCCCCGCCCACTCAGGGAAAACAGTGGTGATGGGGTCTGATCCCATTCAGAGCTGCATCCAGGACCAGGACCCCCCTGATCCGGCCCCTCTGCAGGGTCACACAGGGAAAACCACAGCCCCACCAGTCCTGATTTATACGTGTGCCCACAATATTTCTGTGTATCTACGAAGACAAGCCTTTTTTTCCTGTGGGGTTATTTAAATAAACCATAACTTGTGCATTCTTTTGTCCAGTGGTACTAATGAGCGCCATGATGCTGCAGGAGGGAGGAGGGTCCACACGTGGACTGCTGGTTAACTGACCTCCCCCCTCCCCTTGTTAATGTTACTGTAGGACAAAAAGCCAGAACAGGGAGAGAAACAGCCAGAGGATGATATCCTCACCTGTAGTTTAAACACCTGCTCTATGCAAACCCCTCTTTCTGCACTCATAAGGTAAAGACGCCAGCACAGGTCCTGGAAATACATGACAGAATTTAAAATAGATTTAAAATTGCTGCCAGTTTGGCTAAGCTTCCTCGTCCTCTGGTGTTAAATAGTGCCTGACCTTTAGCGTCCATTACAGAGTCCAGTGCAGCTCCAGTCCTCACGTGCACACTCACATGCATTACAGTCCTGTCCGTTTGCACACTTCCTGCCAACACTACATGTTGTCCGTCGCATGTTGTTACTGTAATGTATCATATTGTACCGTTTCTTAAAAAAAATAAAGTTCTTTTTCACATAAAGAGGTACCGACGGGATCTGGATTTTTTTTTTATCTAAGCTATTCTGTTAAGGAAGGGCAGAGTTCAGTCAGAAGTTGATCCAGTGGGCAGTGAATGAGAAAGTCACCAAACAGAGAGGCTGTAAAGGCTTTTTTCCACTGGTCAAAAACTAGCATCAGCATCTGGCTTTTGATGGAAAAGCATTAATTCAGTTTTATGTCAGCTCTGTAGTTTAACCGGCTGTTATTGTGTACATGCTCATTTCTATCAGGGTTCTCTATACATGCTAGAAACATGCAGACAAAACTAAAGTTTCATTAAACCAAATAAATACTATTAATAATAATTAATAATTAGAGCTGAATTTGTGATAAACTGCTCTGATTAGGGTTTAACTTTTAGGGATGATCAGCACTTTAACTTCGGGATGTCAAAGGGTCTTTCTGCTTGTTAAAGCTGAACTGAAAATCTCCAGGAACAGATCTCACCAGCACTCTGGTGGAGGGGGGGTATGGGAACCAGCAGGTCACAGAGGTGAAGCGAATTATGTCATCATCAGGATTTGGTCTCCATGCCGACAGTTGTTGGGTGACTGGTCGGGTTAAATGGAGCCACAATCCCTTATTGTTATTGATGATTTACACCAAGCTCAACGTGTTAAAAACATAAGACAACTGATTTTAGTCAAAAATAAATCAATACAAACTAAATCTCACACGCACAAAATCACTTTAATAAAAGGTTGCATCATTTAGACTCTTAATCTTACAAATATCCGGAAAATGAAAAAAGAAAAACCGCACTGAAGTTAAATGTGAAGCCTGGCATTAAAAAAAAAAGGTAAAGAGCAGACAGGTTATCAAACTCCAACAGGATGAGCTCCTGCTTCTTCCCCCGATGAAGGATGTGTGTCCCCAAAGGGAAAAACCAGCTCAGAGAAGCTCTGGCCCCACTGCTAGCTACAGAAACCGGGGCATTTATCTGCAGACCCCTCACAGACATCACTCATTTATTGAGGTTTCAGATCGATCTTTTAAATGGTGCTTTTATACAAAGGTTGCTTTTTTGGTCCTTTAATTGGTGGATCCTGTAGCACTACTTTACATTTGTTTGTACAGTAACAGTCAAAGATTTGGACACACACAGTTTGAAGGGTGCGTGGTGTGAGTGAGTGTCAGCCCCCTGCAAACTAATCCCCCCCCAGGTGGAAATAAGCTCACCTGAACAGGTGTTTGAGTCAAACACATCACAATGAGCTCCTCCAGTCATTAAGAGGCTACATTTCCTCTGGTGTGCCTCCACACTACTCTGTTTACTAGTAACACTACTGCGTCAAACTGAACTAGGACAAAAATCTAAGGCGCCGTTTATCAGCTTTGATGCAACATTATCCATTATTTTACCCCCATTTTAGTCATTTTTTAACACTTTTTTGTAGTTTTTTTTTTTTTTTAAAACACCAAACTTTTTTAAACATGAAAAAAAAAGTGTTTCGACAAAGAAGAACATTAACAAAAAAACATACTTTTTCGTTTCTTTTCAGACTAAAAATGGATAAATGGACATCATCACCTCTGGTGACGCATGTCATTCACAGAGACTTACTGATAGACAAATTGATGATCTTTCTATTCCATAATGTTGTTTCCCCTCCATTAAAGATAAAAAGGCAGTTTTGTTACATGTCTGTAAAACTATTCAGAACTAATCGTATCCTTCACTCGTAATGTGGTCGAGTGAAGTCGTACTGATGGATCCCCGTGAATGTTTCTGGCCTGAACATGGGCCCTGAAAGTAGCCAATCCCATTCCAATGGACTCAATGTTCTGATTTCAGCTTTAGGAAATGCAGAGCTACACTGTAGGTGTGCTACATTCAGTTTTTAAAAATACTGCATCTTAGTTTCATCGGCCTGGGTTTCCCCTGTAATACTCTGGTTCAACATTTGTGGTGGAAATGTGCAGCAAACTAGTTTGGCCGCATAAATAATGCGATAAAAAAGAGCAAGAAGCTTCCTTATGAGCCAGATTTCTGTACGAACCTCTGGGTTCTGGGATGAAAGCTCCATTATTTGTGGCATCTCATCAGGAGTTCAGGACAGAAATGTCCCTTTATATCCGGATGATGTCGTTATGAAAGGTAAACGGGTCCGAAGGCTCAGAGGAATGACCGGAGCAGCTTGAAGGATCTCAGTCTCCCATCACTGTGATGACGTGCACAGGGCTGATCCTCCATGCTTCTGTTCAGGGGTTAATCATGAATCATTTCAAGTAGCACTGAAGTTTAAAATGTTGCTAGTGAAGGCAGACAGAGTGTGTGTGAGGTGTGTGAGGTATCCATGAGTCCGTGTTCGTGCGTGTCCAGGTTATCGGTGAATGACTTCTGGGTGAGCTTTGGTTGCTTTGACCTAGGATCTCCTCCACTGAAAATGACGCCGGTGGAAATGGTTTCTTGACGTTTTCTACCAGGAAGGAGCCGTGTTGGCCAGCCGTCTCATGCGCCTACACACAAACACACAAACACAAATCAGTAACCGCAGAAACTGGCTGTCCGATTAGACATTAAATGACACTGAGGCGAGGTGTCTGGACTCCAGGGGACAGCTACCTAAACGATACTATTGGTAACAGTATCACAACATCAGTGAGGGGAGGCTTGGAATGAGCCAATCAGCTGTCAACAATAACCTAAATCACATATAAGAGAGCTGGAAATTATTAGCCGCTGATAGAAGAGAAAAAGAACCATCTCTGCTTTCTTTGGGTTCTGCAGCATGGACTGTCAAAAGGATTTTTCCTACTCAGAACAAACCACTTATCCTCTGTCCTGGTGGGGCTTTGCTAATCAAACTGGATTCAGCTTTGATTCTAAGTCTTTAAAACCTTCTGGGGAAAACGAAATAATGTTAAACAGCTTTGTTTTTTTTGTTTTATTTCTGCCTTTTCATTCGATCATGAACCTGTGAAGAGCAGAGCTCTGCAGACTGTAGACATAGAGAACCTGATCTGTGCTCCTCAGAAAGTGGCTCCATGTTAATGAGGGACTGCATTTCTATATTTCTATATCCTGTATGTTCCTTTATAAAGGCCACTCAGGGAAGCTAAGCCTCAGGAGCCACCAGGCGTGAGCCATAAGCTGCACACGCTTAACTACAGGTGGTCCAACAGGAAGGTTCAATACACCTGGATTTACATCTGTGATCTGAGACGGTTGCTTTCACACCTCTGTGCACGTGAGCGGAGAATGCTGCTTCTTTTTTATGAGTTGAGTGTTTTTAATTATTCATGACAGGTTCAGTGTTTTAAACACGTTTATCTCTATGTGAAAAATAACCACATCCTCCATCTGAACTGTGTTCATAGTTTGTTTTGTGCTCAGATCTCCAAACGCCATCACAAAATAAGTTAGGAAACGTTGTTTTTTCCAGTGTTATTCAGCTGCCGTGCTGCTGGGGGGGGGTTAGCCCTGTCTGTGCCCCTCCCTCTCACCTGGTGTTCCTGTCCTGGTCTCGGATCTTCTTCTCCATCTCGGCGTCGGTGAGTGTCTCCAGCAGGGGGCACCACTGGTCCGCGTCCACCGTGTTCCGGATGGCGATCTCCACCGTCGGCAGCGGGTTCTCACTGGACACGTTTCAAACATGTGACAGTAAATCTCCCATGCAAATGCACCACACACGGATAGAACCAGTAGGACCTGTATGAGCTAGTGTTGCTGATACTGTTTATGCAGCCTGAGGAGGATCATTACCTGAAGGCGTAGGTCCTCTGGTGCCAGCTCAGCTGCCCCCGGATGCTGTAGGCCACGGTGGTGACGAACTCCCCGCCCAGACCCAGCTCCGAGCACAGCTTCAGGGCGAAGGACTCCGGGGAGTTGTCCCTCTCCGACATGTCCCACTCAAACTGGTCCACCAGAGAGATGTTCCCCACGTGGATGTTCAGCTGGGACAAACAGAAGTCAGCCCATAAACCTCCCATCTCCACCAGGGCCTTTCCTCTGGGCTTTCCAAGTACACATAAATACCAACTTTGCCTTAAACACCGGGGGCACTGGCATTTTTAATAAATACGCTGACGTCTATCAACAAGGAAAGTTAAAATTCACAAATATTTGAAAGAAAAAATGTAAATAAAAAGTTACAACAGCAAGAGGAATTGAAAGATAAGAATAGAGAGGTCAGATTTTGGTGGATCCTTTAGAGGGAGAGACGGGATGAGAAGAGTCTGGCTATTACTATTCCCTCAGTAAGGTCAGGGTAAGGAGGGAAAACCTATTCAAACCAACCTGCCCCAATCAATCAATAGATGGAAAGAAGGATACTCAGTTCCACACCACAGTTCCATTTCAGGACCCGTGACCACCAGAGCTGTACACTCACAGAAGCTGCTTCGGTTGGGGATCTACCTTGATAATGACTCTTTGGTCTGCTTGCCCCTCCAGTAGGCTGTCGGTGGGGTAGGACTCGATCTGCTGGCGGATGGCTGAGGCGATGGCCGGGACAAAGGCCAGTGGGTTCAGGTCCAGGTCGTCACACAGTATTTCTGCAAACATCTCCGGGGTCATCAGTTTCTCTAGAGGGAAGGGGACAGGAGTCAGACATAAAAGGGGAAATGGCTCCTGTGGCTGCTGGAGGGCACGGGGGGGGGGGGGGGGGGGGGGGCTCCTACCGTTCATGTTCCAGGTGAAGGTGTCGCGCAGCTTCTGCCCGTCGATCTCCATGTCCAGCCGGATGGGCACCAGCACCTCCACCTGGGCCGCGTTCTCGTGGATGACGGCGGGGTCGTGGTCGTCAAAGCTGCACACCACAGACGCCTTAGGTTGGATTATTTTAGTCTAAAAAGACTGTTGCTCGTTTAATTCTAACAACCACATGCACTTTGAATACTACACCACTTAAAAAGGACAAGTCCACACTTTTCTACTCTCAAACATGAACCCACCAACTAACCTGAACATCTGTAGAGAATAAAGCCATCTAATGCTGGAATCCTACTTCTATGCAGCTCATTAGCATATTTCAAATTAAGAAGACAAAAACAGTAATAACACTAATGTGGTCAAAGGATGATAATCATAAGAGATATTTAAGTAGACTTAGATGCTAACAAAAGAAGCTGCTTCTACAAATGTCCTATTTAAGTTGCTTATCTTTTAACACTTACTTTGAAAATGGTCTAATTTAAAAAAATATGACAAAACCCTGAAGTAAAGCAGATTATTTGGGAATAAACTGAATCCAGAAGGTAGAGAAAGCAGCCTCCCACCACAGGGGGAAGGTCCTCTTCTTGTCCCGACATATGCGGTTGCGGTTGATGGAGGTGGACGAGGGCACGGCGTCCAGGTGGTGCGAGCTGCTGGGCAGGGTGGGAACCCACTGGCTGCTCTTCTTCGTTTTCTGCTCCCTAACAGACGACAAACGGAGGTCAGAGGTTACGGGTTTCAGTCTGTCAGCAGTTCTTAGGAGACAGACACCGGGTCCAGCTGGGTGAGAGCGGCTAAAATACACCAGGAGCTCCTCACAAAAGGACCAGAATAATTATTATTATGTCTGACTGAGGTCACGGCCCTGTGGAGCTCTGGCCCGAACCAGCTGGACTCTGAGAACCAGGTTCTGGTCTCCTGCTGGGGTCCAGAGTCAGAACTAAACCAGCTGAAGCTTCATTTCAGCTCCAGGCTCCTAAAACCTGGATCAGTCTTCCTGAAGACGTGAGACAGAACCCAACTCTGGATGTTTGAATCCAGATGAAAATGTAGTGGCCAAAAGTTTAGAGAATGACCCAAATGTTCATTTTCACAAAGTCTGCTGCTTCAGCCTTTTTGGAGGCAATGTGCACGGACTCCATTCCTGCCACAAGAGGAGCAGCTAACATCGTTTCAGAGGACAGGTGAGGACAGGAGACCAATGACTGAGGTCGAATAACCGACCGGACACTGGCCATCACCGTTTCTCTTCTGTTAACCGGGGAAAACTATCATAACTAAAATGTCATTTTAAAATGTAAAGAGAAAATGTCATAACTAACGTGTGGTTAATCCTCAGGAGGTGGGTGGACAAACAAAAGCCTACTAATTCTGACAAACTCTAGGCAGTAATTATCCAAGACTGGACCGCCATTGGTCAGGATTTGGTCCAAAAGCTGATGGATAGCATGCCGGGGAGAACTGAACTCAGTGTAATCATCAATAAAAGCTTTTCATACCTATGAAATGCTTGTGACTATATTTGAGTATATCACAGAAACATTTGGCAAAAACACCTAAAAACCCAGAAGCAGCAGACCCAGTGAAAGTGTCAGATTTGTGTAATTTCCACGATTCAGACACACAGCCTCCCAGTCTCACAAAATGCATGAAAGTGCACCGTAAACCATGGAGAAGGAGGACTCTTACCTGAGGAAGGCTGGGGGCTCCGTGCTGATGGACACGGCCTTGTACTTCTCATCATTCCCCTCAAAGATCTCCTCACACTCTGAGGCCTTTAACAGGGTGACGCTGGTGGCTGTGCACAGACACGGGTGAGAGGTCAGGACACGTCAGGACACGTAAGGCTCTAAAGGTTCTGTGTCTATAACTTCTGAACTTCTAAACTATTCCACTACGTTTTAAACTCCTCCCTCTTAGTGTTGGAGACTCTAGGTTTTGGGCCCTTGGAGCTTTTGCTCCAGGTCTGCAGAAATTCACTCTTCTTTTCCCTCTTTTCAGTAAATAAAAGCTAACTGGACTTAAATTCTTCTGTTTTTAGTCAAGAGGCTATAAAATGAGTGGATCCCTGGTCCTCTAACAGTCAGCTCTCCACTAGTATTTCCTGCCCTTTATCCAAACATGCACGTTAAAAGCACCAATATCTGCTTTTATAAGCTGAGTGGGCTGTTCTTCAACAGCTATACAAGCCTTGATTCTTACAAAAAAACACACATATAATAATGTAATGCAAATGAATACTAATGCCCAAAGAAAAGACACTCACCATGTGATGATGCTACGATTTTCTTCCTCTCCTCCACAGAGGCCAGCCTCCTCCACAGAGACGGATACCTCTTATAGAGAGAGCCTCTGAACATCCGCAGGTAGTTTCCCACCTGGACAGCAGAAAGGACTTTTAGTAAGAGACTCAAACCAAATTCAGCATGTGGATCACCACAGAAAAGCATGAAGTTGGGGAGGAAATTGAAGTTATTTGCCAGAGAAAGTGCTGCAACATAAGTATTAATGCAGTCCCACTAGCATCAGGCCTCTGGAGCCCCCCACCTGGTGCCCACTGGAGCATCTTTTCCAGATGTTTGCAGCTGTTAGGAGGCTCCAACCCCTGGTGGATATGCAAAAAAACTGTTCTGACCCAATTTTGTAGCTTTCATACTGGGCCCAAAACATTTTATGTAAAATGTGTCCTTTTTGCCCATTCATGTCATTTGGGGATCTAAGTCCAGCTGATTGGGAACTGATGGAAATGGCCAGGTTTTTCCCCACCTCAGGCCACATAAAAACTACTTTACAAACACAGTTTTTATTCTAAATGAATGCACACAGACTTTTCTGAACCCCGGCAGGGTTTTAAGAAGCTCCAAGTTCTCAAACAAGAGCAGATCCCACTGATTCAGTTTCTGATCCAGATCCCATTCTCGGAAACGCCACAATTTAATAATCCCCGATTTTTTTTTAACAATGCACAGTAAAACGAGCCCTGTTCCGTTGTACATCAAATCTAGAGTCACAGAGGAGGCTTTCGGCTGGCCTGAGGCTGAGCATCCCCCGGCCGGGGCCATGTTTCCAGCTCTGTTTGCTCAGCTAGCATCCGGAGCCTGTAGCATGCTAGCCCGGGCGGGCTGGGAGAAGGACGCCGGGAGTCGGTCCCCACGCCTCCACATACCTCCGACCCCACCATGTAGAAGTCCCCATCCTGTTCCAGCTGGAATTTAACCGGCTTCTGGCCGAAGGTTTTACTGAGAGCCAGCTGCATCTTTTCCCGACTCGCTAGGTCTCTGGACGGCCGTCGTCTACGGGCTTGGCCGCATTCGGTTTAAGGGGATCAGAAGTCCTCCCAGAAACAAGCAGCGGCTTAAAAAAGCAAGAAACCTCAGTTCTCTCTGCTCTGCAACTACCAGAGCAAGCACAAAGGACCCAGACTAAACAGGAACGCTCAGGGGGCTAGGCACTGCTAATGAAAGCATCTGTTTCTGTTGAGTTTTCCGGAAAATCCTGAACGTTGCATTGGAGTATTTTTTTTTTTCAAGCAGGAGAAATTGAGCAGAGCTCAACAGCGCCCCCTCCGGCCGAACGGAGGAAAGTCTGGAGAAAAGCCTGCAGGTTCAGAGAGCACAAAGCATGAAAGCAGCCATCATAAAGGGGGAAACACTCTCAAAACGGTCCAGAAAAATCCGGGTTACCATCAAATCTATCATCACTATTCAAATGTTCTCTTAGAAAAGAAGGACATCAAAATCAATCCAAATATTAGTCTTATAATAGCCAGCCCAAGTCCCGTTAAGGGTTTTTTGGCTCATATCAGAAGGTAGTGAAAAATATATATATATATTTGATCAAATGTATAGTCACACACAAATAGAGACAGGAGTCAAGTTGTTTTTATGAAAGTGGACTGTAGTTACATAACAGACGAGGCTTTTTCTATGGAACGAAATGTTCAATCTGAATTATAACCAACTTATTTAGCAATTTATGATGGCACATTGTTTCTGCTATGCTGAAGTCAAATGATGTACATTTATCTGCTGCATAGAAAATGGATGATGTCAGAATAAGATCATTATTCAACAGATGGGACTAAAACACCATTTGTGATACACATTTATTATTTTAAAAAGTGAAATGAAAACAAAAAAGATGCAGTTGCCGTGGGAATAAATCCACTTTTATATTAATATGCTTTCGTTTTGTCTTTCACACAGCTGTATGGCAAATGAATCGTCTGAGCTCAAAGGTCTCATTGTCCAAAGTTTGTCAGAAGTCCAGCGCTTGTGTTAGATCTGGAATACCTCAGAGGGATGAGCGGGCATCAGTGAGAGTTTCTGAGGATGACTAAAGCCCACAGACACAGACAATAGATCATTATCTCCAAACCACTTCTGGTTATTTGGCAACCTCTCTCCAGCTCTAAACAAACATGTCAAAGACAAAGACCACGTTTGACCCCTTCCTTCCTCCGCGGGACCGTCTTCAGAAGTGATCCAGAAAAAAAGAGGGATTCCCGGTTAACCTCCCAGACGCTGTCCTTCTCCCCAGGCAAAGCCCCCGGGCCGCTCCTCCGGCAGAGGGTTGTAGTTGGCATCTTCTTCTGGGGTGTCGAACAGCATTTTTCTGTGACACACAGGGCAGAGAGGGCACCAGGGATTTGTAAAGAAACAAATAAGTGTGCAATAACCTGAAGTAGCCTCTAAAACTACAACCAAGGCACCAGGCTTTTTGTCTTTGTTTGAAACCAGCTCAGCCCGCATGTGTCGGGGGAAACTCCAACACCAAACCGTACCCCCCACAAACAAGTCTACCCTATTTTCCAGACTATAAATCGATTCAACGTTTACCTTTAATGTCCACATTTTTTAACAGCTGCTTTCTCTCACTGCGTCCATTTTTAAAATTGTTACTAACAGATATGGTCATGGTGCAGTACTGAGGATCCCCACAAGGTGGCGCCTCTTTGCACTACGTCTTCTTTTACAGGACAAATGGAATCCGAGGCTGCCTCATGACTAAATCCTGATCAATATATATGGATTATAAGGTGCACTGTCGGTTTTTGAGAAAATTGAAGGTTTTTAGGTGCGCCTTATAGTACAGAAAATACGGTAAATACATAGAAACATATTCCCTTCTGTGTGTGTCTGCACAGTCAAATCAACAACTTCAACAGGGACACAAAAGCAAAGGACCTACATGATAGATGGAGTCCTCAGCCACCGGCCGCCTCCTGGCTGGTTGGGGAAGATATCCTCCAGGAAGAAGTACACATGGCCAACAGCGATCCCTAAACACAGACGTCGTGTTAAAGAGTTTCTTAAGGGCACATTTCCTGTATGTCACCGTCGGTCAGCACCTAAAAGATCCACGATGATGGAGTTGCCCAGCAGGAGGGAGAATCCCATTAGAACCCAGGGGAGGAAGGGCGCCTGGAAATTCAGCAGGCCGAAGAAATTCATGCGGACATTTGGGTTCCTCCGACTCCACACGTACACGAGCATGATGGTGAAGGCCTGGCCCAGGAACACCAGGTTCACAAACATGCCGAATATCTGCAGGCTCGTTAAAGACACAGCACAGCAGCCACAGAAGCATCAGACCGCCTTTAAAGGAAGAAAACAGCTTCTAAAATTTAGTCTGTTTCTTTGGAGAAGACAAAATCAACTCAGCTCTGATGTAAGATTATTACTAAGATTATATTTGTCACATATATAATAAACATATATATGCATCAGAAGCTGGAATTTGACAAGATTTGTAACCCTTCCCACCTCAGTTAACCGAAGTTCTTAATGCCAGATAAACTGGGAACTACCCACAAAAACTATGGACTCTCTGTGACACACAGCTGAAACAGTGAGACGCTCCACAGAATTTCACAGCATCACACACAAACCCGCACCTGTGGAAGAGATCTGGGAGTGACACTTTTCTTATGAGCAACACAAAACCCACTGGGCAAAGTCCACTCAACAGATGTTTTTTTTTTTAGAAGGATACAGTCATCAAAAGCCCCCCAAAGAGGAACATGAAGACAAAGTCAGCCGTGCGGCCCCTGAAGGAGCCCTCCTCTAACATCCGACAGTATCTGTACCTGAAAGGAGAGTTAAGGAGAACCAGGCAGAGTCGGTACAGCCAGCACATTTTGGGTTTGTTTTTAATTAATGGACCCGAGCATTAGTACATTGGTTATAATGGCTCAGACTTATTCACACATATAACCTGTTGTTCATTTGTCCCACCAGCTTAAATATTCCTAAATATGACCTGAGAACTTCCATTACCTTAGAAAGTTGTGGAAAAAAGGTAAAGCAGCTCAGATGGCTAAAGGATATGACACACTCATTCTTACATGAGTCTGAAACACAACTAATGAAAAGCTGCCAACAAGCAGCCGGCAGCATGGCACCCTCCAAACAGCCAGAGGACACAGTTTTGAATAAATCCAAAACCGAACAGGGTCACAATAAATACCAGTTAATGCACAATTTGACTATGGAAATTAAAGGCACAATAGGAAATAACTAGAACTCCAAACTAAGCCAAGGAGGACATTAAACAGGAACCAGAAGCAAAGTAAACACTCATAATTATCCTCACACAGCATCCCATAATGCACGGTGGTGGCACAACCATGCCATGGGATGTTCATCAGCAAGAATGGATTAACGGGGTAGGAAGATTAGCCTCAAACATACAGCGAAATGTGCCAAATGGGGAAATAAAAGGTGCCTTTAACCAGTTGAATCCATCAAACTTTAAGGAATAAGAACCCATATTTATTTTTTTCTGAAAAGAAAATCTTTCAGAGTAAACTGACCAAATGGGCCCCAAAGATCATATCAAAACATTTTAAAAATCAAGTAACATCACAACATTTGTTAAAGATCTGTCCTATTCAACAGGCTACCCTGGTCCTTTTAATAAATTGAGAGTTGAAGTTGTTCTTACTCCTGGGTCACGGTGGGTTCTTTTAGGTTAAGGTGGACTAGCTTTCCCTCAAATAACATGCAAAACCCCAACTTTTTGTGAAAAGTCTTTATCTAAAGTCCCAAACAAACACATTTACATTATAATATGTAACATAGAAAAAGCCAAGAGACCTGTTTATAAGAGTTTATAAAAGTTTACCCCATTGAAACAGGAAGTGAGAGATGTCCACTGCTAAATACCATCAAGAAGGATACAGAAAAATCATATTGAAGAGAAAATTGAAGCCAACAGGACCAAAAAACAGAAAGTTGGTTATAAGTCGCCATATCTAGAAGGAGAAGAAGAAAAAAACAGTTAGTTGTGGATATTGTGGAAGTGATTCAATCTGATTTTCAAAAATTCTATTCATTTTATTTTATTTTTTAATCTGAAAACTGATGCATCCTTTTTAGACCTAGTATCACTTTTCCATCCCAAATCAAACATCATCAGATGAAAATCCCACAGTTTCTGCTCCCAAA